CACCGACTCCACTCCTTGGTGGTCAGTGTCCCTATGAAGTTTTGCATGGCACTCCACCAAAGTATGATCACTTACGGGTCTTTGGGAGTTTATGTTACACTACTGTTTTACCCAAACCACATGACAAGTTCGCTCCTCGCTCCCGTAAGTGTGTGTTTGTTGGCTACCCTTTCAACAAAAAAGGATGGAAGGTCATGGATATCTCCACTCATGAAATATTTGTTTCTCGTGATGTTTTATTTCATGAAACTATTTTTCCATTGGCTGCAACTTCATCTGCACCTTCTGTCCATGTACCGTCACCACAAGCTGTCTTCACCGATTATAATGTGGCACCTGTTACTGCTATTGATACTCCCACAGCGGAGCTTGATGACAGGGGGAGTTCGTCCTCCCCAGTTCCGGGTTCTATTACTTCATCCACGGATGTCCCTGGTTCACCGGTTCCGTTGACAGAACCCAACACTGCATCTGTGGCAGATATTCGTGAACAGCGTGCCAGACGTCCCCCATCTCATTTAAAGGATTATGTATGCAACACAATGACTACACCCTTTCCTCGTCTCTCCACTTCTCCAATCGACTCAGGTATTCAATATTCCATTGATCATTATGTTTCTAATGCATTATTTTCTTCGCACCATCAGATTTTTCTTGCCGCCGTGGATAGTAACCTGGAACCCAAATCATTTAAAGAGGCTATGCAATATCCTCATTGGCAGAAAGCCATGCAAGCCGAAATTGATGCATTGGAAGCCAATCATACTTGGCAAATTCAACCTCTCCCTTCTGGTAAGAAAGCTATTCCATGTAAGTGGGTGTACCGCATCAAGTACAATTCTGATGGAACCATTGAACGCTATAAAGCGCGTCTGGTTATTGCTGGGAACAATCAGATCGAAGGAGAAGATTACACTGAGACTTTTGCACCGGTGGCTAAAATGACAAGTGTGCGTACATTTTTATCTGTAGCTGTAGCTCGAAAATGGAGCATTTTTCAGCTGGATGTTCAAAATGCCTTTCTCCATGGCGATTTGGATGAAGAAGTCTTTATGCGTTTTCCTCCCGGTTTCTCCCAAACCAAGTCTGGTCACGCCTGTAAGCTTCAACGTTCACTTTATGGTCTCAAGCAATCCCCACGAAATTGGTTTGCTAAGCTTCGTAGTTCTCTCCTCAGTTTCGGCTTTGTTCAGTCTCGTGCTGATTATACGTTGTTCACTTACTCGACTGGTTCCCATTATGTTGCTATACTTGTCTATGTAGATGATATTTTGTTGGCAGGTAGTGATCCTTCTCTCTGTGACCGTGTCAAAGCTCATTTACAAACCTGGTTTAAAATCAAAGATCTTGGTCCCCTCAAGTATTTTCTTGGCATTGAATTTGCTCGAAGCAAGACCGGTTTGTTTCTTACTCAACGCAAATTTGCTTTGGATATTCTTAAGGAATGTGGACTTCAAAGTTGTAAACCGGTTGCTTATCCTATGGATCCCAATCACAAGCTTGCTCTTGCTGAAGGACCTCCGTTTGATGATCCTAAACGTTATAGACGTATTGTTGGCCGTCTTGTATATCTCACGATTACACGACCAGAACTTAGTTATGCAGTTCACACACTTTCTCAGTTTTTGCAGCATCCTATGCAGATACATTACGATGCGGCTATTCGTGTTCTTCGGTACATTAAGTCCAATCCTGGCCAAGGACTCCTTCTTCGATCTGACAGTGATCTTCTTCTTCGTGCCTATTGTGATTCGGATTGGGCTAGTTGTCCCTTGACTCGAAAATCAGTCACTGGTTATTTTGTTACTCTTGGACATTCTCCTATTTCTTGGAAAACCAAGAAGCAAAACACAATATCCCGCTCCTCTGCTGAAGCTGAATACCGTGCCATGGCAGCTGCGACTTCTGAGCTTATTTGGTTAAAGTCTTTTCTCAGCTCTCTTGATATTCCTCATGCAGCCCCTATGCAACTGTTTTGTGACAGTCAGTCTGCTATTCATATTGCTTCTAATCCAGTGTTCCATGAGCGTACCAAGCATATCGAGTTAGATTGCCATTTTGTTCGGGACTATCTTCTCAGCAAGACTATTTCTACTCAACATATCCCCACTAGTTCTCAACCCGCAGATATTATGACCAAAGCACTTGGATCCAAACAATTCGATTTTTTGACTTCTAAGTTGGGCATCTCCTCCCTCCATGCTCCACCTTGAGGGGGAGTATTAGAGTAGCATTAATTTGTTAGGATCCTGATTGTAACTATCACGGTTTGTTACCTTGTATATTAAAATAGATTAGCTTGATTTATGCTTTCTGTTCCTTAGTTTTAGCTGATTTCCTGATGTAAATAGATTAGCTTGATTTATGCTTTCTGTTCCTTAAGTTTAGCTGATTTCCTGATGTAAATAGATTAGCTTGATTTATGCTTTCTGTTCCTTAAGTTTAGCTGATTTCCTGATGTAACCAATTGTAAATCTTGGTCTATATAATAGACCCAATTTTATATATCATTGAGCTGCGAATGACAGCAACTTCTGTTATTCTCTCCCAAACTCAGACTCAGTCTCCCTGATCCAGTGATCTCCTCAACCGTGCTTGTTCTTCTCTCCCCACCGTTAATTTGTCGTGTCACCGCCTCTCCTTAGCTATTCACTATTGGGTAAGAGATCTCGTTTCATATACTATTATAGGTGGATGAGAAGGACAAGAAGGGCTTGAGTTTGATGATATAACTTTTTATTAATTGGAATATGTGTTTTATACTTTAATATTTTGATACTTTAATTAGCTTGTGAATATTGACTTGTGGATGTAATTAGTTGAATTATGTTAAGTATATTTTGAATATTTGATTATTGGTGGTTTGATTTTTTTGAATTTTTCATATATGATATATAGTTATATTTTATTAATGTATAAAAATGAATCAGCGAAGTGACCCCGTGACCCCCTAGTTGAACCCATGATCCCGTGACCCTAACCTCGGCCGAGTCGATAGTCGGGCCGGGTTTTTAAACACTATTTTTTTTTTGTATAATAAACACTATTTTTAATGCATTGGAGTGGTGAGAATGGATATTTCAATATTAAAGTTTCATACATCTTTATTATTGTTCCGGGTATATACCTTGGCAGGCCCATAAGCCCATTTGGAGAGGATATGAAGACCTCTCCTCTTGAGCTAGACATATCTGACTTGGGTCGTAGCTCGTTATTTCGGATCGTGGGATCATACACATGATCTTTTTTCGCTCTTTGATACATACAATCATCCATTAAACGAACTCATTAGACCCAAGATCACCATGATAATTGCATCCTAAGGTTTGTATAAATATACCTACAATACCTAAGGAAAGGGATTAATTCAGATAACATCCAACCACACTCACTAAGCCTTGTTATGATCATCATCCCATACACTTTGAGCCTTATACCATTGATACCAGAGCAATCTCATACTCGACCTTATAACATATTCCAAACACCAATCCTATCATCCTAACATAGTAATTGGTGTTCACTCTGAATAATTAATAAAAAAATTTGTGTTTTTTTTTATAGAATTTTATATAAATGTGTGTATTTATAAAAGAATTAAATTGTTTACATGAACGGTGTCATGCTAAATTTTAACCATAGATACTTAGTGTAAAGAACCAATTCAACGCAAAAGCTTAAGTCATAGGGTGAGATTTTTTTTAATAATTTATATTATTCTCTAACACACCCCCTCACGAAAGAGCCATTTAGGCTTGAAGCGTGGATATTGCACAGGCACAATTTTTAGTTTACCTTGTGCTTCACTTAATTCCACTAGTAAGTGGGGAGCGTTAAGAGTCAAAAGCTCTTATATCATGTAAAGAACAAAATCAACACAAAAAGTTAAGCTGTTGGGTGAGGACTTTTTTAATAATTTATATTATTCTCGAACACTTAGTTTGGAGGAAAATGCTTTTTAACCTTTGATAAGCTAAAATAATTAAGTTAATAACAAAACAATATTTATTTAGTTATTTAAAATAATATTTCGTACCTGTATATATACACTAGGGGTGTTCATCAACCGATTCAAACCACGGTGACCGAACTGAAAAATCGATAACTGAATAAACCGAAAAATCAAAAACGAAAAAAAAATACAAATTTTAATTGGATTGGATCAATTTTCGGTTTGGTTGATGAAAATTGATCCAATATATTAATTCCCCTATCTACCTACTTGGGCCTTTCCCCAATCATAGCCCAAAAATTTCTAAACTCAAGACCCATTAACTCATCGACTAAACCCAAAAAAAAACCTAGCCACATCCCATTAGCAAAATTTCATCTGTATAGAACTTTATATCTCATTGTAAAAAAAAAAACAACTATATTATCGTTTACTAATGTTTTTGTATTTCAAAAAAAAAAAACTTTACAAAGTCAATATATTTAAAAGATATGTTATTTACACAATAATCATGAAACACATTTTAGACTTTTTAAAAAACCGAAAATTGATTAAATCTAAATCGAAAAAAATTGGATTATATCAGATCGAATTTAAAAAAAAATCTAAATCGAATGAATAATTACATGTCAAACTATAAAAATTGGATCGAATGCTTTTTTTTCTTTTAAAATCGATTCAATTCATAATACCAACACCCCTTATATACACAAGTTTTAAAATGACACGGTTAATGAAACTCGCATGTACAGCCGTATATGCCTTTGAAGGAGAAAAATTCTTTTTTAAGAGTATATAAATGAGAAAATATTTTTGATATTACAAATGTACCGAATATTCAATATATTTTTATCTAATATGAAAAAATAACATATTTACACTATTTTTATTTTATAAGTTTTTTTTCATATTCTTTTTTTTTTTCTTTTAAAAAAGGGAGTAGCTATTCATTCACTGGGCATCGAAAATGTGCTCAAATTAAGTACTTCTACACCAAATCCTGTGCGTTTAACTGGACACGTGTCCTTACAACGCTTTTAATCACATTATGCACCCCGTTCCTCTATTATTGTCCCAGCCATGGCCCCCGAGTGAAGAGAATAGATTCCGTAGAGGGAAACACTAACATACGCAGCGTTAGTGCACGATAATAATAATGCTCCGATTCCGACCCATCCTCCCCAAACCTACCACGGAGAGTGAGCTTTCTGTTACCAACCAAAACGTCGTCGTTTCTAAACGGAGAGCGAAAAGGAAATACGTTAGGGTTCGAAGGAACAATAATGGTAAATCTTCAAAGAGATTGGGAAAACGAGAAGAACAAACGGGCTCGCCGGCGCCAGAACACGCGGCGGCGCTTGTGACGCTGCAGCTGATGCCGGAGCGCGGTGAGGTTTCCGGAGTTTCACGGTGTAATAGGAACGTTGATCTTGATGACCTAACCGTGGAGGAAATACGAGATATGGAAAATCTAAAATCGCCGTGCGCGACGGCGGTGGCGGCGGAGGTTGGTGTGGTGGAGTCGTGGGTGACGGTGGAGAGCGTGACGTGCACGTGCATGGGTGAAGGAGAAGGGTTAGGTTGTACGGACGTTGAGAAGGTGAAGAATCTAGAAACTGACACGTGTCCAGGGTTTGTATCGGACGGTTGTTATAAGGTGCGGTGGGTGAACGACGCGTACAAGAGGATGGTGATGGGTGAGGAGCCATGGCCTGAGATTGTGGTGTGGTTGAAGGTGAAGGATAGTGTTGAGTGGTGTTGTTATTCGTACCCGGCGTTCACTTGCGGGGTGAGGTTACAGTACACGTGGCGGAACGAGAAGTGCACGAAGATGGTGCCTTGTGATGTTTGGAGATTGGACTGTGGTGGTTTTGCATGGAAGCTAGACGTGAAAGCTGCGCTTAGCTTGGGTCTCTGAAAAATCACATAGATACACGAATGTGTACATATATAAGGTATTGTTATGGTTAAAGTTGATTCCGTTTGAAGAAATTCAAAATTAAAAAAATAATAATAATAATAAATTGTTGCTTTCCGGTAATTAATAAGGTATTAATATTTTTTATTTTGTAGGAGATTATTTTATCATTTAAATAAAAGTATATGAGATTTATGTAACGTCATGTGAAGAGAATAGAGAAAAAATAATATTTTTATATATTTTTATATGTATATAAAAAATAAAATTATCTCCTACTAATACGAGAAATATTAATACTAACTAATAAACATGCAAAACTGGTACTAAAAAGTGCTGCTATGCTATGTCTATGCATTCCGTGTTTTAAGGCTTGAGGTGTACACCTTGCTTAATTTGTAGCAACTTAAGTGTAACTATTGTCACTCTAGGAGTTTAAGAGGCTAACCAAGATTGTGGGAAATGTATATATAGTATGTATTTATATCACTATCTTAATGCATGAGCTTTCAATTAATATATTTATATGATCATTATCTTGGAGCATGAGCTTCAGCTGTTTATTTATGTGGAAAGGGAGCATGTAATTAGCATATTTTGTTAGGCAATATGCATGCTGTAAAAGCAGGGGAACTTATAGCATGTTTAAAAATAGTTTTTTTTTTAAAGAATTCTTTTTTTAAAAGTTCTTTTAAATTATTTCTGATTACTTTAAAAAAAAAAGTTAATTTAAACATTCATTTACTATAATTGTGTGCTACAATTGATTTCATTTTAAAAGATAAATGCCTCGATCTGGTGCACAGTAAAAAAGTATATATAGTGGAGATTGTTGATCTATTGGTGGGTTTTTGGGTTTGGGAAGAGGATTGAGATTGAAAAAAGTAATAGACCTATAAATAAAGTTTTTGTTGCATAAATCATTTTCGAAACATGTTTGTTGATTTATAAAAAAAAAAAAAGGCAGTTTGTTTCTATTTTTTAACAATAAAAAGTATTTTTAGGTTAACAAATATGTTTAATTTTTACTAGAATATTTACATAATTTTTAGCATGTATTAAAAATAAAAAATAGCTTTAGTATTTTTTTCATAAATGATAAATAATGGCATCTGAAAAAAGTTATATTATAAAATCATTTACTTTAGAATTAAATAAAATTATCCAAATATACCCTAAAACAAGTTTAGGTATATGTGTGGGACAAATCGTAAATGCAAAGTGATGAATGCCACATTGATATTCGGATAAATTGATCTATAATAAAATTATGTTATGCTTTGATTACATAATGAAACGAAAGTTTTTTTTTGTTTTTTTGAATCAGTTTAGTTTACATTAGTTTATTTGGGCAAAACAATTAAAATGTTATTATTTTAATAAATAATTACGAATATATAGCTGTTTCGAAATTATTTACAAATTTATTATATCCATTTACGTCCAAATTAGGCATGATCATTCACGCTTAATTTAACATGACTCCCAAGGCATTCACGCCTAATTTGTATCGTCAACTTGTATGCCTAAATATTTCTTCTAAATTTTGATAAAAACTCAAAGGCAGCTAACATTCATATAACACTAATTAGATGCATCTGCATCGTAATTCATAAGGTCCGTAAGACCGTAATAACCTTCTTTACATAATACTGATAATTTGTTATTTTCCATTTTACCAAAATTCATTCTCCATTTAATTATAAGCGATATAATAAATCAAGGGAAATGATTGTCTTCTGTTACATAAATTTTTTCTTTTCTCCTGTACAGACATCGGACCTCACGCTTTGTTTTTTTTTTTTTTTTTTTTAAATCTTGTGGACCCATTTATATGTCTCAGTAGAAAAAAAAAACATATCACCTGTGAAATAAGAAAATGCAATCCCATAAATCAAAGCCCAAACGTAACATGTTAATACGTTTTTTAAAATTATTTGATGCACATGTTTATATACTATAATATTTGGGTTCATTTTTTCTGCAGTTACTGCAGATAAGTTATCTGCAGTAAGTCCAATACAATGTCATTTTGGGGTGAAAATCATGATGTTTTTATAATTTTAATTTATTTCAGAGTTATTTTAGTCTTTATAATTATAATTTTATAATCTTTCAATCCTAAACGACGTCGTTTTGGAAATAAATGTAGATAACTTATCTGTATTAACTGCATAAATATTTTTCTGATAATATTTAAAGGAAAAATCTATTTTATGTCAATATATTTTTAAAATTATTATTTGATGGGGGTGTTTATAATCCAAACTTACTTTAATACTTTACATTTACAACTATCCAAATAAATTTGTTTCATTTTTTCTCCTTATAAGTTAATTTATATACACAAATATACAAATCATGAAAACAAGAGTCATGCATATTACTAGTAGTATATAAGCTCCGATATTTGTTGCTAATTTATATGTATGATTTAAACGGATGATTACATAATCTGTTTAATTTTTTTAATTTAACTCTAGGTAGGCATAAAAAGATTATCTACAATTCAAAACTACGGATCCAAACATCCGATTAGGGGTATATATATATATTTATCTCAAGTTGTCGGAGAAATGTTTTTTCCACATAGGGCTTATCATTTCTCAAGCTGTCAGAGATAACTTTATCTCTGGCTACTAAATTATACCCGTACAAAGATAGATCAATGGTGATAAAGGAAGAAAAAGAAAAAAGGAATCGTAACTATTCAAAGGTGAATCAATTAATATAAGAAAACAATAAACAAAATGATGTAGTTTTGGGAAGGCCGGAGATAAACTTATCTCAAGTTGTCGGAGAAATATTTTTCCCACACACACACACACACATATATATATGAATGGTTTATCGTTTCTCAAGCTGCTTGAGATAGTTTTATCTCTGGCTACTAAATCATAACCGTACAAAGATGGATTAATGGTGATAAAGGAAGAGAGAGAAAAAGAGAATCATAACCATTCAATGATGAATCAATTAATATACAGAAATAAATAAACAAAACGACGTAATTTTGGGGTGGCCGGATATAAACTTATCTCAAGTTGCCAGAGAAATATTTTATATATATATATATATATATATATGTATATATATGGAGTTTACATTTCTGCAGTTACTCTACGTGCAGCAATCAAATACTTGCCATATATATATATATATATATATATATATATATATATATATATATATATATGTGAAAACATTAAACGCGGGGAGTCATAACCATATACAAAGATGAAAGCATTAAATGCGGAAAACCATAACCATACATCTGTCGTTGCTGTACGTAAAGGGGCTGCAGAAATAATTTTATCTATATATATATACATATATAGGGTTCACTTTTTCTGCAGTTACTGCAGCTAAGTTATCTGCAGTAAGCCCAATACGACATCGTTTTGGGACAGAAATCAGGGTATTTTTATAATTTTAATTTATTTCAGGGTTATAATAGTCTTTATATTTATAATTTTTTAAGATTTCAATATCAAAACGACAACATTTTGGAAATAAATGCAGATAACTTATCTGCATTAACTGCAGAAATATTTTTATATATATATATATACAAACACGTGTAAAAGAATTAAAAATCTTACTCACAATCTTAACCGTTAATTTCTATCTATATAATAAGTATAATTTATTGAGTATAAATAATTAATTAATAGAGAGATACAATAAATAATAATCATCAGATGCACACAGATCAAGGGCTAAATATTTTTTTTTTTTGGAGTTACCCATCCCTAATTACCTCTTTGAGGCGAGTTGGCTCCCTCCGGTATCCCCACAAGCTTCAACTCTTTGAGGCGGCTATGAGACTAATCCGGAGTGCGGGGGTCAGAGATGGCTAAAGGTTCAGCCCCCTCCCCAAGAATGCATTTAGCGGGAATCGAACACATGTCCAACCCCACTAACTCAGCGCCAAAGAACCAACTGAGCTGCACCCATTGGGTATCAAGGGCTAAATATTGGAAAAATGAAATACATTGCATAAATATTCAAATCATAAAACTGTCTTATCATTACAAAATATTCATAAACACTGTCGAAAAAATTAACTACAAATCTTAAGATGTTAGTACTTGCATTTATTTAATTTATGAGATAAATTTTCATTCCTAAAATGTTTAAAATATTAATTCTGTTATGAAATTAAAGGATAACTAAAAAGATGGTAAATATAGCAAAGAAAATGATGAAAATGGTAATTAAGGCAACATATATTAAGAACAGAAAAAGGATATCATAATAGTTGGCTTTTTGTCTAACTAGCTAAAACAATAAAATGCCTCAATCATTTCAAACATACATGCAAACAACCATTTTAAGGAGAAACAAAACAAGTTCTGGTAATATTTTCAAAAGTGAAATGCACACTGAAAATAAATTTCTGTTTAGGCTCAAATCTCACGGTTATATGTGTGCACTTCAATAATTTATGCTCTTTCTGAATCACTCATACTGTAATTTCATTATTCTTACTTACTCTTAGACTAACTCAATCAATGCTTATTCCTAAAAAAAAAAAAATCTAAGTCATCATATCAGAAATTAATTTTTACTGACTAATTCTAACTTAGCATGATTTAGTAATCCAGACAGAGAAAAGAAACACAATAAAAGAAAATAAAAAGGAATAAGGAAAAGAATTTTCCCTGTTTTTCTAAAAAAAATTGCGGCTCTTCTCATCACAGGGATCATAGTTGTACCAACTGCTACTATATATATGGTGCAGGTGAGTCCCCATTCCCAAATTTAGAAATTTGCTGTCCTCAGCAATTAATCAATCAAAAAGAAAGAACTGCACACATCATCTTAACAAAAAATATCATCAGATAAAGTCATCAGTAGTAATCATGCTCACAATAGAGTCAGAAAAATAAAATTTGTACATCACTAGAGTCATCACTAATCAAAACAGATAAACAAAAGAAAAATAAAACTAAAATGGTCCTAAAAATAAAATCTACTAGCATCATAAAATAAACTAAAATAATTAACTTAAAAGCGATAAATTCTTAGGTTGCCTCCTAAGAGCGCTTGTTTAAT